CCCCCCCTCTTCTTTCGCTTTTAGCGGATTGCGTTACCACCTTGTTGCATGAAAGGAGCATTGAGCGAGCCGGCTAACGGGTCACGTCCAATCACAACATTACAAAGTGGATGTGTGACCGTGGCCACAGGAAGTCTGCTGTTTGGGAAGTGGGCAGGACATGTGGGCGGGACGTGCGGCTGGACAGCGTCGGCAAAGGCAACGCCAAACGGTTTAGGCAAATCCAGGATTCAGATATGGTTTCGGGGCTGAAACATTTCCAATGGGCCGAGGTGTAGATGTCTATTACTGCCCCATGGGTTTAATATTTCCATATTGATATGGTATTGATATGGTATTGCTATAGCTTAAACTAGTCTCCAGCCTGAACAAGGGGCCACCTGTGGAACTGGAGCCTAAACTCACCTGGGCTGTGTGGGACATCTCACTATAGACCTCAATGTTAACTAAAACGACCTGTCCTCGGCTTTCAATTCAATCTACACTTTAGACATCAGCACGAGGGTAACATAAGTGAGTGCCACCGTCCAGTCAGCTCTGATTGGTCAGAACGCTCACGTGTTACTCTAGTCCTGCGAAAGTACAACCACCGCTTATGACCAGGAGGAGCAGAGTTTGACAAAATGCGTCACTTAATCTACTGTTAAGGACGTCCATGGTGCGAGCATGCGCTATTGAGCACAGGCCATTGATTTTAAGGGTTGCAAAATGCACAACATTGCCTACTTACTTTTACAATACTCTCTTCACAAGACACTTTTTTCACTTTTGGGTTGAGGTTTTGTTCGTTTGTGTATTGATTGGGCTTTTGGAATTGGGCTGATTATTTAATTACAGGTCTTTTTCAGATTCCCAGCATTGTTTAAAAGATCTTGTTAAGACTGGGTCACTTTGTGAATTTTTGTTTATCCTGATTGTGACGTGTTTGTGATTATCAATTCTCTGGAACTCGTGGCTAGATGTCGGGTGTTCACTCTTGTTTGTGCCCATGTGTATTTCTAGTTATCTTGAAGTCAACAATACTACATTTAAGGGTCTACTCTTTTACAACCATGCAGAGCTGATAGATAATTGACAATGTTTTCCAAATTATGTTTTTGGAAAATATTGTGACTAAGTTTCTATTATCTGTTATCTGTTGCTTTACTGATCAGAATAACGGCCAGAAAGTTCAGTGTTGAACTTCATCAGAGTAGAGACCTGTCTATCTAATCTTCGGAAGATTGGTCCAGATTTTTAGAAACGATAACTCCCCATGTTCAGTCCTGACTGTGGGCACCAGCAGAAGGCCAGTCCCTGTATTCCTCGGTTGGTTCATATGGCACAACAACGCGTCACACATGTGCTTCGGTGCGAGGCCGTGGAGAGATTAGACAACTGTCATTCTTCTTTCACTCTCTTGGATTAGCTCCTTCTCTAACCCTGGACCACTGGCTCACAGCTGGGTCATCGGAGCAGACCCCAGCACTCTCCCCTCCCACCAGGCCAGTGGGGGTTGTTTCCTTTCCAATGTTTACTCCTACCACTAAACGCACTCACGGCTAACAGCTAAGCAAACAGCTCCCCATTCACACTCCACAATGGCTTTTGCACGTACACGCCAGCGGGCAGTCTGCTACAGCCTTTTTACCCTAACCCGCTGTAACCTGGCTCCTCCTCCTCGGCTGAGGCGCAGGTCGGACAAGCGTGGGCTCCTGAGGTGAAGGCCAGACCGCAAAAATCACAGCGGGTTACCATGGTACCGCTTCATCACCGTGAATGGTAGAGGTCTCTAGAGGATACCCTCCTTAATGTGTGGGTAATAGCATCATCGTACGACAGCACGGGGATCAATTAGCTCAAAAGGCAATGAGATGTCTGACTTGAATATTAATTGCAGTATGTAATATCGATCTACATAATGTTCTATCTAGGAAGTTGTTACACTGGTCGAGTTAAAGCAGATGTAAACTGTGGCCCCATGCCCTGATTTGAAGTTTTGCAGAAGTACGGTGGAAATGCATCGCTTTTAAGAATCCTTTTGTGTTATAAATGTATGCACTCGCTAGAGGTGGATTGCAGTTCATGCGCAAAAGAACATTTTAGAGGGTGGAGCACTTTCATGGTGTCATGAAGCGAATATTAAAAAGTGGTGTTGGCCTGTTCAGAGGTGATGAACAATCTGTCTGGATCCTCGATATTTGTGCAAAACTCATTACATGTGATCCAACCAGAGGATGATATGGCATGTTGTGATCCCTAGTTTTTTGAGAAATCTGCCTTTTGTTTGATTGTAAAATATTTCTTGTCAATTTTAACTGTATGTAAAAACCTGCCAACAATTAAACATTACACACAAATCCAGGAAAGGATCTATAACATAGAAGGTAACGCTATGCATCTGGTGACTGCAAATCAAATCTCTGACAGATGAAACATTTTAATGCCAGACTTAAAGCCAAATCTTGTTAGATCTCAGAAGCTAAGCAGAGTTGGTCTGGGTTTGTACTGTGATGGGAGACCTCTGAGAACACACGGTGCAGCAGTGGGGCTCTTGTGGCTGTCTCGTACCTTCACCCAGATATGCATTTCAACACATTTTCCCTTAGTTTTTTTCAAGGGGAATTTTCTTTTCTGATGTGAATTTTGCAAATATGCACATTTTATATGGGTCATGCAGTTGTATTAGACAAAATTGTATCTTTTTAGAAAGTGTTCAAACGACACCACGATTTATTTACCACAAGTGCTTTTCATTATCGCGCAAACATTTCTCACCTAAAAATTTACCATGGGCCTCTAGACCACATCAAACTACAGACTTCAATTTGGATGCGTTTAGGCTTAACATGACTCATGCAGCTCCATCTGAGACCTCAGAATTTCAACGTTTACAAGTGTGTGGGTGACTCAGCTGGTTCTGTGCTCAAGAGAAGGTCACATGGAGGGAGGGGGCCGTCTGCAGATGTGTGCCTCTCTCAAATGACTTGTGCACACAGCGGTGACATCACTGACAGAGCAGGATTCATGTCTGCTCCACCGTCCTGCGTGGGAGCGACGAGGAGCAGGTGGTCTGCTCTGAGCCACTTCTGTTTCACATTATTTTCTTGTGATCACTACGTGGGAGTTAGTTTTGAGGATGGATAATAAAATAGCAGTGTTAATCTTTATTAGCGCTACACAATGTATCAGAAAGTTATCCCGATTTTGTCAAGTGCAATATTGATAACTCAAAGATGTATAAATCATGTGGTTTTTCATGCATAACCTTTGTCATTTGCTGTTTATGACGGCCCACACATTATCTATGTACAATGAGTGTGTTATATAGCGCTTTTTCACATGCTCCAATTTAATTAAACTGATAAAAGATTATGCTATGCAAAAAAAAATCCGATACGAGGTGCTGGTGCGAGCAATCCTAAAGCGGTTGAGTTTGCGCATAGATCGGATTGGAACGAGACATCGGGCGCATACAAATGTATGCATTTGGTGTGTGGTACTCGAATACATAGTTCCTCGCTGAACGTTTTGTTAGCAAAAGCAAAAACAAATCTCAACTGGAATAATGGTGCTGCAGAAACGTAATGATTTCAGCTTTTAATGCGTGTTACATTTGCCGGGCATTTGCTTATGATATATGATGGCAGAAAAGTTTGAGTAATAAGGGAAAAGTTGTGAGACGCACCGAGACGGGACCAAAACTCGTCAGACCTGTTTTATAATTCCATCAAATTGAGTATGGTTTTTGAACATACTCCATATTCTCATGCTTTGGAATCTCCGTGTCTTGAATATTTGGTTTCTTTTATTTTTTTTCTATTGCAGCTGAAGCTTTGAGTTTTGCCTGGACCTTTTTTGCTTCATTGATAGAATTTCCACTTTCAGTGAGCAATGATACTTATTTTTAGTAAATTGCAGTTTAAAGTCAAAGCTTAATCCAGGTGACAATTATTTGCTGCAATTTGTTGATTTTTAACTGGTTAAAGCCCAAATCCTGTCCTTTATTGCTCCTGTTGCTTTGACACCCATCCGCCAAATTCCTCTGCCTGCATCCCCTTCAGAGAGCCCCCTGAGGGTTTAAGGTGAGAGTCTGTCCTTCTCCGCTCCTACACTGAGCCGGTCTGTCCCATCGGAGCGGAGGCCTGCCGCAGGGTGCAGTCTGTGGGACAAAGCAGTGGGACAAAGGGAGGACAGTGGAACCTGATCTTGGGCACAGTGTCACACAAGCACGCAGCTCTTTCACACACTCTGACTCTTCCCAGTATAGCTGCAGTCAACGCAAACACACACCATTGGTTTGAGAGCAAACTTCTAAAACTTTTCACTCTGGGGCCCCCAAAATATGCATGACATTGCAACCCCCACTCCTGGATAAAGTGAAATAGTAATAATTAAAAATGTAGCGATGCTTTTTGATGATTCACCTAATTTCACTAAGTTTTTCACGTCAAATAATTGGTAAGAAATCCTTAGAAAAACATTTTGCATTTTATCTTTAAATCATCTCTTGTCCCCCAGCTTCGTGTTGCCCTACTCAAAGCTGGGGTACCTAACTTTATCTTTCACAAATATTATTTGTCCTCGTAAAAGTGAATTAAATCATGCTGTCCTTTTCTTATTATTATTTTTTTTTAAACTGTGGCGTATAAAAGAGGCCTGTGAGAGACTATTTGACACTTTGGGTTGAAATCTGATTGGCTGAGTCAGCGTGAGCCTCTTTTTCACTTCTCTATCAGAAAAAGCTAATCTAAAGATGCGACTGCGGTCCAAAATGCGAGCGACAGCGAGGAACTAGTAAGATGGATTTTATTTAGTAGTTTCATTCTTGTGTGGCTTAAAAGTTGCGTAGCCCAGCTTTAAATAATACTGATTTAGCGTGTTCATGTGGTTGGTCTTCACATTTTGGTCTTTGTACATAGTTTTTTGCAATGAAATAACTTTTTTGCATAAATCTCAAATGTAGTCTCGATGTTTGTCAGAATAACATGGGCCTCACCTCTCCTTCTGTTCGCTCACAGATGTGAAGAAGGACTGGTCGGATCACGCGCTGTGGTGGGAGAAGAAGAAGACGTGGCTGCTGAAGACCCACTGGACCCTGGACAAGTACGGCATCCAGGCGGACGCTCGGCTCCTCTTCACGCCGCAGCACAAGCTCCTGCGTCTGCAACTGCCCAACATGAAACACATGAAGGTCAAAGTCAACTTCTCCGACCGCGTCTTCAAGGCCGTCTCCGACATCTGCAAGACGTTCAGTGAGTAAACTGCTGCTGGTTCTGATGGTACATCATGGTTCGGTCTCCAGGATTTGTTGTTGAGTGTGGCTCCATATAAAACACATCTCCATAACAAAATATACTAGGGTTTTTAGATAAATAACTATGAATAAAAAGTATGATTCCATATTGATTTTTTATTTTGTAATAGTTTTTTTTTTCTTGGATTTCTTAGATTTTTTTCATTTTATTTTTATTTTACTATGCCATATTATTTTTAGTCTCATCTATTTTCCAACTTTATTATAATTTGGCTACAATAACAATTAATCTTAAATAAATTGAATATAAATGCATCATTGGTGTTTCTGTTCATGTGGCAGCGGGTTTGATGGGCCAACAACCTTCATTTTTTTACTGGTTTGTATCATATAATGTAGAAATGCCTGTCAAAGCCTAATTACGGTCATTGAAAGCTCCTTGCATCCCGAAATGGGTATTGTGTCATGCATGCTGAAATATGCATACTGCCGGATGTGTGTGTGGGTTCTCTTATTGTGTGTTGGTCCTGATGGTATAAATTGCAGATTTATAACGACCGACTACTCAGTCTCATCCATATACTGAACCTCTCTGTATCAAAAGTTGATGTTGCACTGGTCAGTAGACTGTCCTGGGTCTGGACATGCCATCTCATTAGTGATGGTCATCATGTGACTGTGGTGGTGTAAGACACGTGCAGACAGTGGTAGGGGAGTTTTGTACAGGACAGAGAAGTCGTCCTATCAGACACTGCTCTATGTGAGCCGCAAAGTGTGATCAATGTCAAGTATAGTGTTTTTAGTGAAGCCTAAATTTCTAATGCTAATTGCTGTAAGAATGAGATGAAGTTGATGTTAATCAATTTACCTCAACATTTAGATCTGCATGATTATAATTTTCAATATATTTTAAGTGAGTGAACACTGTCACGTCCACAACATTCCAAAAATTACGATCGTTGCACTGGCTTTGCACTGTAGCCCTGTGCTCTTCAAATTCTGGCTAATCATTTTCAAGGGTCTGTTGGAGATAACCTCACAAAATGTTACCGCACAAAGAGCTAAGCAGCAGGGACTGGACATAAACAGATGGATCACTTATGGTATATGCAGCTCTTACATTTGCACTTGGTAGATTATCAGATGTTGTCCACACAAACATGACTTTGAGCCTGGAAAAACTATTAGGCTTCTCTGTATTGCCATTTCAACCCAAGCTGTCAAACTACAGCCTTTGGATCAGTCCTGGATCTTTCACCCGTCCGTACGAAGGAGCGGATCCCTCCATCAATGTGAGCCTCCCAGAATCTTCTCACTTTTTCCCACTTGGTTTTTGAGTTGTTCCTTAGTGATGCAGGAGGGTCTAAGGACGGTGGTGATGGACAGTGAGGACATTTGTTAACATTTATAGATATTGGTCATCCCGCTTCCTATTAGTGGTGTCACGGTATGAAAATTTAACCTCACGATTATTATTACCAAAATTACCACAATATTCAGGGAATATGTTCAGAAAGCACAAAGTGCATGGTATTGTTTGCCTTCATCTAGCACCCAATAATACTGTGTCTTAATTTCACCGTCTCATCAACTGTTTACTTGTTTAGCTTAGTATGTATTCTGCCCAAAGTCCCCCACTTCATCTATTTCAGCTAAAACGCTAACGTTGTCTTACCTAGCATTGTCTATAGACTTGTTGTGGTTGAATTAGTCTTCTTTGAAGGCTGATAAATGTCCTAAGGGCTTTTGTCTCCTCCTTTGGTCACAATTCCAGCAAACCATTGTATCCTAGAGTGCGCCCGCACGACACCTTCAGCAGCCTCAGAGACACCGGAAATCCTCACTGTGACTGAACCGTGGGTGCGGTGATATCCTTTTTTCAAATTCAGACGGTAAATGTTATTGCCAAAATACCGGGGTCTTAACCTGACGACTTGAGGAAATGGGTGGGGTCTGGTGTGAATTAAAACCTGCAGCCACATTGGCCGTTCTGTAATCAGTTTGACACCCCTGTACAAACCCATCTCTTCCATTGACTGTTTATGAAAAGGAAAGCTGACCACCTCCACAGTCCACACTATTTCAGTCCCACTTGTGCGTCCTCCCTGTGACCTGCGCTCTCGGCTCTAATGCTGTGTTTATTATACAGACATGGGCCTCTGTGCAGTACGTCCCTAAACCCTCTGCTGTTTGCTCAACACGCTTATCAATGCAGACAACACGGCCTCAACAAGTCAGAAAATACCATCTTTCCATTTTAGAATTCAGATTTGTATATTTTTGTTTTGCCATTGTGAGTAACAGGAAGTCACGAACTGGAAATATACTCTCGGCATATGGTATAAACAAGTTATGAAAAAACAGAAGATGGATAGATATAAAGGCCTGCATTAAAAAATTATAAATTCACACAATTGATATTTAACAGTGGAGATTCAGAGGCGTGAGATAATAAAGAAACAGAAGTATTTAGACATTAGTAAATATTCTGATCATATTCAAGTGAAAAAAAGTACTCTTTGCTGAAGACCAACTAATTCATGATTTTGAATTATTTTGGTAAAATGACGCCTGATTGAAAAATAGATACAGATTGCAGAGCCGGGCCCAGCTGGTTACATACTATGAACGTCACTTAATCACAACAAGAAAGTAAAATTAGAAATATAAAAATAAGTAGCAAGATCTTAAATGTAATGCCAACTGTGTTTTCTGAAAAGTCCGGTCCAACCTGCCATAGACACATGTTGTAGATAGATAGTTGGAGGAACCCTATTAGACACAAGGAGAACATGCAAACTCCACTCTCACTGCTGCACCTGCAATGCGCTGAATCATGTCCAACTCCATCTAACCCTAAGGCTTTACTTTTCAAAAATGATATCACCTTAGATAGATCCAGTAAAGAACCAATCCAACAAATAATTCCTGAACTTCGTGAAGTATAGAACACTCGAGATGCTCAATTTCGCTTCTCATCACTTTGAAATACAATAAATCTTTATCTACTCTATACTATATAATATTTTAAAGGGGTTGGATGAAGTGGTAGAACAGAAGCCGCATCAGAGCCTTGTGCCTTTGACTGTATATTTGGACTTTATTTCAGAGACCTAGCTGCTGTAAATATGTGCATGGATGTACCGGTACTACAAAAACTATCCTTTTCTTCTAACAGCCCCGTCTATGCTGTCATCATAACTCGAGTTTACGACAGCAGGCTGGACTTGGCTGACAGCAGGCTGCAGCTGAGCCCATGTGACCGGCTCCTTGCATTCAGAACGTTACTACATTCTCACATACAGACGGCACTGCGTAAAGACAAGAAATCCAACATGGTGTCGCTCGGTAGCAGGATCTAAGCTCAGTTTTGTGTCGAGATTTGGTTGTTTTTGGTTGCCCAGATTAACAATAACTAGAAGGATAGACCAGGAAGTAATTTAGAAGCTGGACCAAAATAAACTTATCACAGATTTTTATTGTCTCGAGGTGACATTGAGAAGAATATTTACACACAAACTGTCCTCTTATTGTGAAGGGACGACGTTCGTAAATAGAGCGACCAGATGTCTTGTTATAACTGGTTCTATCTTGACCACAATGTATTAAGTTAGAAGCTGCTGTAATAGACAATGCTGGTCGTCTCCTGCTTTACCTTCAATTACTTCTATTTATCAATTAGACGCTCAAAGTCTTTTTCAGGGTTTCAGACAGTTTGAGTCATTCATTATTTTCTTGAACGGAAGATGCTGTTTTCTAATTTTTGTAATCATCTCAACAAAGAGACCAAAATTCAGATAAAAATACAAACTAGTGACAACTAGACTATAGAGCCCTGCACTTGAGCCCTTGGCCCGAGGGCCCCGACGGCCCGACAGCCCGAGGGCCAGGCTTCGGGCCGATGACCACATAATGACCTCGGACACGGGCCGGGCTCGGGCTCTTCATTTTCAGAGCGGCAGAATACATTACGAACGCACCCACTGAATATAGCGTTCTATCACGCTGTAGAGTTTGTTGTTCTGTGTAGTGTTGTCATTGACAGCACATAGCGTTACTTACAGGTGTGTTGCACCATCTGGGCATCATACAGATGCGGCCGTTCACTCTGCACCACTCCGCACACACAGAACTCATTGCAACACATCACTACCATGTATAACTACGCTAAAACATTGTTATGGGAGGTTACAAAAAAAAAAAAAAGGCGGGATTGATGCGGGTTTTGGGCCTGAAAATTCAGAAACCATATCGGGCCGGGCCGGGCTGGGGCGCCACCCCCTCGGGCCAGGGCCGGGCTCGGGCTCAGATAATAGGCCCGTGCAGGGCTCTACTAGACTAGACATATCCTTGTGTTGCCTTGTGAGTTGTAATGTATTTGGGACTAGGGACTTCGGATGACTAGTTTTGTAGCGCTTATCCCATATTTACATGTGTTTTATAGAGATGTTTATCAAAGTGCAATGTCCCTATGAAATGAATGAGATGGAACTAGTATTGACTTCTTGATCCCAATTAGAACTAATAAGAAACTTTGTGCTACCGTTTCAAAATTATGTTTTTATGTTCAAAATCACAGCTCATTGTTTTGATATTGGAATAGTCCTTGTTCTGTGAGAAATTGTTTGTAGTTTTAGAATCGTTTGCCATTTTTCGCTTTTATACTATGCTGATGGGTTTACACACACACAGAGCCTATGATGTGACCACGTTTTCTGGAGCGCTGCGGCGGCACTGAATTATGGAAATTTCTTTTTATTGCTTTAATTCAATATTTCTATATCACAAGCTATAATGAGCCACAGGTGTCTTGTGTTACCACCAGAGCAGACAGACGCACGGTTTGTCCTCCTTATATCTTGAGCCGTCCAGTGAAAGTCCAGCTGAATCCCTCCTCCCTCTGTCCCACTCCCAGGCTCCAGGCAGCTGTGCTCTCACTCTCACATTCCAGCCCAGAGCGGCTCCATCTGCTGGGCCGGCACTCAGCCAGCACCAGGG